GAATTCAAAATTAATTAATTCTTCATTTGTCTAAATTGAATTAGATATTTAGATAGATCGCTTATTTGCAGTCTGGTTCAATGCATTTCAAATATTACATTTTACATTTGTTCTGTAGTTTCCACCGATGTCCATGCGCATCATTGGAAAGGTTTTGGACAACTGCTTCTTTTTAATTGTTAGGGGGCAAAGATACCTTATCTTGATTCGAATGTGATGATAAAGAATGACTACTGCATGCTACTACGTCTCGGGAGGAGCAGAATTTTTTTATTATGCGTTCAATTTCGTCTCATTGTCTTTTGATAACAGATCGTGATGAAATTATATCTAGATATGAGTTTTGAGTATAGGATTTATTCAGAGATTGCTCGAAACACACAGAATAATTATTTGATTCAATCATTTATTTATGGAAATATGTACAGATAATTCTGTAAAAATAAGAACAAACTTTACTCGGCATCTTCCTCGTCGTCATCTTCCTGGCTGTTGATCTGGAAGTACCTCAGCTCATAGGTCTCCTTATCTTTAGATACTACGCGTAACCAGTCACGTAATTTATTCTTCTTCAAGTATTTCTTTGTCAAATACTTGAGATACCTATGTGAACATCGTGTCAAATTAGTGCAAATATTGTTCGTCTTGTAAAGTATAATTGCAAGTCCCAAATTCTTTTGCATGCAGAAAATTAGAACTATTGTTAATTCTTATCTGAACACGTTTTTATAATATTCTTATCTTAATAAAAATATCATTTTTATCATTTTGTTGAACTCGATGCGCTTTCATCGTTTAAAAGGAGTGTCAGATGTACTTTTATAAATTAGGGTTTAAGTTAAGGACAACACCCACCGCTTAGAAAAGTCAGTGTCACTGTTGACGGAGAGCTTCATCTTGTCCCTTTCTAAACTAACATTGTTGCCAAAATTGTTCGTCTTTCCGGAAACTTTTATTCTTTCGTGGAGGTACTTTTCCTGTATGAGAAACATTCATTCAAATGATGTTATATACAAAATGATGAAATAATAGTCATCTCGTATTGGCAGATAAAAACGTAATTTTTGAAAGAGAATCAAGCGAATATATATTGGGAATATTTACTAATATATTAGGATTAGGACAACACATTGGAAACATTATTAATAACTCATTGGGAGTCAATAAGTTGAATGTGGAATTCCTAGGTGATTTGAGATTAAAACTTACTAATTTTGAACCAAATATTGCTAAAAATCATCAATCTATTTACT